ACGTTCATTAATAAGGCCCAAATAAGTATTTGCAAAACCCGACACTAATATACGAGTTTGGACAGTACATTATTCAATCATGCACTATGTAAAACAACAATCGTTTTACAATTGTTTGGGAATCGGAAATTCAATACATAAACTTTGAATTTTTAATTGAATTTTCGAGGACGTTCGGGTGCAGTGTCACAATAGTGCTTCTCCAGATAGTCCCATAATGTTTTAGCCTCATCCTGGAACGGTATTGACATGACAACACTCGGTTCCATACTCCGCAAAATCCATGAAACCACCATGGAATTATTGGTCTCCCAATCGAATTTCTTTCTCGGTTTGGTTGGTTCTTTGATTGTTCCGTCAATAAAACCGTATTTCCGGCGAGCCTTCAAGGAGAGAGCAAACACGCGTGACCAAGCTACGTATCTCCCTTGAATATCACATGAGTGATGAGATTTCCGGGCAGATCTCCCGAGCCCAAATAATAAGGCGAAGTGACATCTCCCATCTTCACCGAGTTGAAGCACGCGGGTGCGACACTGCGAAGAAGAAGACGCAGAGGATACGAACGACACCAATCACAGCTTTGATACCATGTTGACCGATTAGTATTTTAGGGAATGAATGATTTTCATTAATTGAATTAATTAGTACAAGGTATTTATACAAGTAAATTACACAACAAAGCCCTTGTCCCAATAGTAAAACTATACAGATATATACGAAGTCCAAACGGGTGTTAACAAGAAATTGCTCAATATAGGAGTAAAAATGTTTGTGTAATTAAAAATAATATTGTCATTTTTTATTCCCTAAATATGAGTAATTATTGTCATATTTTGGCACGGACTTTAAACATGACAATATTTTTCAATGTTGACAATAGTTACTCCTATTTAGAAAATAAAAACATGATAGTTCTATTTTGGAATTCTGAAATTTTGTGATTAATATTTCAGGAATTTTCCCTCCTATTTAGGAAATTTTATCTTTCTAATAAATGTAAAAAATTAGACTCTAATAGATGCATAGCTATTTCAGTTAAATCATTAATTAAATTAAATCTAATGGATTTACGTAAAAACATTACGATAAATCAATAACGTTATGATAAGTTTAATAACATTATCAATTAGGGGTTTTCCTGGATTATTATTAATAAAAAATAATCCATAAAAATATTACCCCACAATTAGTAACTTACATGTAACTACTACGATGTAAATTTGAACACAATTATAGTCACTAATGGTTATTAAGTACGTAGTTATATGTTTGTCCACTAAATTTTAAAGAGTAATATTAATGAATTTTTTCTATCTATTATTTATAAAAGTGAATTATGGTTTTCCTGTTTAAAGAAATATACAATGACGGAGACACCATACATAGGACTAACCCAATAATGATGATTTGATTTAATTGATGATTTAATTGAAGGAGGACGCCATACGTAGGACTGACAGAAACGTCATACGTATACTAAAATTGAAATTAGGAGGTCGTCGGCAGATTGTTAGGACTCATTTAATTGCTTTTTAAAAATAGACATATTTATATGATACTTTATCGAGTACATTACCTTAGTGACAATTTCACAATCAAAAATTCATTTTGTACACGTTCTTATACACATCAGTACACATCCGTGTCTGTGAGAGTTTTTTTTGTCTGTGAATACCAATTGACACACAAAAACTGATTTGTTTTGTCTGTAGAAACAAGCCGGCCAGTTTTGTCTGTAAACGAGGATTCACAGACAAAAAGAACCTCTCACAGACATCAGAGGTGTACTGGTGTGTATAAGAACGTGAATACAAAAAATTTTCCTTTCACAATAGTTAAAAACCTCATTTGACCCTTTTCTTAGTTCTATTAAAGGAAATACCGAATATCGAAATAGCTTTAATACAAAAACATTTCCTAAACAAACAAAAGGATCCGTGGCGCAATGGTAGCGCGTCTGACTCCAGATCAGAAGGTTGCGTGTTCGATTCACGTCGGGTTCAAAACTTTTTGTTACCTCTGCTTTAGTGTTTTATTTTTTATAATCTATACGCTCTCATAATACTGAGTTTATGAGGTGCCCTTTTAAACACCTACATAACACGAGCTCGTATTATGTTGAATCGTTGATGGTGTAACGGAAAATCATCTTCAATTTAGTATCTTGAAAAATATTTGAGTTAAGTGCTTCAAAAAGCGAGATCGAAGTGTGAATGCTTGCCTAACTTAATTACCTTCAAGGCTATTGACGGTCCGGGAATTGGAGGCGACCTTCTAAGAAGGTTTGGCTAGTAGTTGGTTTTTTATGGTCAGAGAGACAGGGATATTAGAGCTCTTACGATCGGATTAATTGAAAGCTCTCGCATGGTTAGCAAAACAATTTGCTCACATCGAAGCAATATTTTTATGTCTAATCACAAGGACGAACAAATAAGGTCACGCACCAATCAGAGCTTTTTCTCTGAAGAAAGTATGAGCAACATACGAGATATGATGATAAAAAAAGGTACGCCACTCTACCCAAGATCACATCTCGAGCATTGCAGTCAAACAAACATTCATACTACATTCATCCATTTCATTCATACATCATTACTAAAAGTCCCTTACAAAGCAAAGATCTAAGCCGAATTTCCTCTCCCACATCTGCTACAACCACGAAGGAGAACATTCGGAGGAGAGCCTCCCCCGCCTACTCCAGTTAGAAGGGAGACCCTCTCACTTGCTTGTTTCATTCAAAGGGATGGACGCCAACAACTAATAGAGCGTCACGAAGATAAAGATCCGAGAAGAACAAAAGCAGAACATGAGCAAGAGTATAATTTCTTGACTAGATTCATATGCCTTTTACTATTAAAAAAACGGGGGGCTTATGTTGGGATATTGAATCTGAACTATTACTATTCTGGAAGACCAATGTACTAGCCCATTTGTAGCACGATTATTAGTCCCATTACCACCCATTAGGATAGAAGGCACCTCTCCCGTTTCTTTATAAATAGAGGCAGTGTTCTAAAACTCGCTAGGCGCTAGTCGGGCGGTTGAAGGGCGCCTAGTATCTAGTCAGCCGACTAGGCCGATTTTTTGGCCGACTAGACAGATTTTTTGGCTGACTAGGTCGATTAGTACTCTACAGTGAGGGCCGACGAGGCCGATTAATCGGTCTGACTAGGCCAATTTTTAGAAAATAGAGGATTTTCCTCCATAATGAGGATACTCTCTTCTAGCTCCTTTCCTCTCTCTTGTTCTCCCGAGCTGTAGATAGCTCCTTGCCTCCTTGTACTCCATTAATAGTTTCTCAAGCTTCATTCTTGTACAATTTAAATGGTGGTGAATGAGGATTGAGGAATATATCATTAAAAAGTGAGTAGCTTGAATTGATTCTATTAAGTCTTATCATTTTCACACTTCCAGATTTCCACATAAAAAGCGAGTATCATTATTATTGTTGTTTTTGAGGTATGATTTAATAGATTTATACATATAAGAAGCAACTTTGTTAACCCAATTTTCAACTTTTCAACCTTATCAAACAACTTTTTAATAAAGATGTAATTTTTTATTTTGCGCACTAATTTATATAATAATGAAAATAAAAAAGATTATAATAATTTTTCAAAGTGAAGTGTCAGTATAGAAGATCATCTTAGTTATTTTCATATGAATTTTTATTAATTTTATCAATAATATATATTTCAAAACTTTTTTTAATTAAGTAGATTCTAACAATTGAACCACTTCAATAATAATTTTATCAATTTCTACATATTCAGCCAATTTTGCTGTTACTAAACGGGCTCCAAATCTTGTGTTGAAATAAATCTCAACCATACTTATAAATTTTGTTTCAAAACATATAGTGGGGTGAATGGCTGTATTTTGCGGCATCTCCATATATAATGGGGGTATAGAAACTTGTCTAGAACCCATATTAAATTCTAGAAAAATGTGTGGTGTACAGAGAAGTTGTACATTTTTTTTGTACACTTGTCTGTCCCTTGCAGACAAGTTGTATGTCCACAGACAAGTTGTAATCTTGTAGAGTTGTCCGTGGACAAACAACTTATCTGCGAGGGACAAACAAGTGTACAAAAAAGTGTACAACTTTTGTGTACACCTAGCTCAACCCTAAATTCTATGGATGACCAGAAACGTCAAATAGCACTTAAACATTTCAAAATATTTCCGCAAGTGTACGTATGTACTCTATGGATGTTTTTACTTGACTGTAATCTGTCTCAGAACAGATTTGGATAGTTTTAAAAATACAACAAGATCAGTCTTTACCAGATCAAGCCAGACCAGCAAATTACAGTCCAAGTAAAAACATCCTATATAAAAAACTGTAACCTCATTAGTAATTTAGTAGGCCACACGAGGCAAATATAGAATAATGATTAAAAATCGATGTCAATGCTTCTCAAAGTGAGGAGCTCTGTGTATTTAGCTAAATCACTATGATTAACAGCCTTATAACCTCTCTCAAGTAGCCAAGTAGGGATGGACCGAGCCCGGTCCAATTTCGATTCCAGTTCTAGGTCGGACCTGGGCGGGCTTGGTTTTTCTGAGGTGAAGCTCAGCACAGGCCTGAGAATCTATTGGTACTGGGGCGGTTCTTTTAATTTTTTTTAGTTTTTCTTATTTATTCCAACCCCCTCACCTCCCAAACCCCGCCAAAACACCTAACCCAACCCACCTACCATAGGCCCAAACCCAAAAAAAGCACAGACTGAACTCGGATCGGTCGATCCGGTCCCTATTTACCCAGCCCTGGAACCACCCCATCACCCCTAAAATACCCCCGTGCCAGTCCGATCCCGCACAGTGGTGGTCCGGTCCGATTCCCGGGCCGGTCAGACCAAAACTGGACCACTCCTACTCTCAAGTATCATGATTCATGATGTTTGACAATGACGTAGTACGTGTATATTATGACACCACCACACTCGTCAAAACTTTTAAAGAGCCTCGAGTCATATGGCCCTTGAATAAAGAATTGGAAATCCCACGTCCGTTATTGGCCCTTGAATTGGAGATACAACCTTTTGAAACAACTAGTAACCTCATTAGTGTTCAATACAACTTACACCAAATTGAACACACACCAAATTGAATTGATTCTCATCAGATGACATTCTCATGTATTCTAAATTATGGAATACAAAAGGTTCAAAACTTTAAACTAATCCAACAATACTAATAATGAAACTATAGCGGTATAGCCAGCCCAACACCCAAAATGTACAATGATTCCTCTGTCTCACTACTCCGGCATCGCTGATTGTTCTTGCACCATCATCATACACCATATCCCCGTCAAAATGCAAATAAAATACACATCAAACTGAGGAAAACACACAGAAACATGGGAAGTTCTAAAATAAAATCATAAGAAAGAAATCCAAGTCTAAAAAGATATTTCAAGGTTTGCTTCAAACAAATATATAGTCGAGTTGCCCCCTACAAAAACCGAAAAACCGGCAAATGCGACAAGAGAAACAAAAGCCATAAATGACAGGCTGAAGTGCCAAAGGCCAAAACAAAACGACCAGCTGAAGCACAACACTTGGTTACCAAATCGTATGGAAAAGGTAAACTGCAGCTAAGAACCTAAGGTAATGAAATAAACTATTTATGCACCAGAACGGAAGGTCTTTGACAAATTATTATGTATTGGTTGCAAAATAGACCAAAGCATATACGTAGTATATTGGAAGCCGTGGCAAAAAGTTAATAAGCATTATTCACATTTTTAAATCTATTATGTTATTATAAAAAAATGACACTTTCATTCAATCCTCTGGACAATTAGCCGGCAGGATGTGGTTGATTACAGACAGTTACATAGTGATGAGATTTAAATCCAAGTACTTATAGAGAGAGGCCTTACAGCACTTTTGCTTAGGAATCTCTCATTGGAGTTGAATGGATTCCAATCCAAGACACCCTCTAAGCAGCGTCCACCGGCAAATTGGTGACCCATTCTGGTATTATAATTATTACTACCTCTATCCAAAATTGGTTTGCCAATTATGTTTACAAGGTATTGATTGATGATATATTATACTCAACAAATATTTATATTAGTATTAATAATTAAATTTCTATTTTAGTAAATATTTTATAAAAAAAAATTAAAGCTTAAAAATCAAATTCATCACAAAATGAGAAACTAAGAAAAGAATTATTTTAAATCACATAATTGTAGTAAAATGATACTCCTTCCATCAAGGTTCACACTTTCCGTTTTTGGACGTCTCATATAAAGGTCCCCATTCCATTTTAGAAAAGAATTAAAATTCTTGAATGACAAATTAATCATTAAATGTTAAAAATAATACATTTATAACATCAAAGATTCACAGTTATCATCATTAACCCCATTATGTTATACGGAGTACATAGTATACCTATTAAAATTATTTCTTAAAATATACTCAAATTGCCTTATTTAATTATGGTCTAAATAACTGTACCATTTTACCATGGGAACCTTTCAACCGGAATTAGAATATCTTTTAGTTTGACTGAATTAGTATAATTTAGTCCGGTAAAAGTATGGCTTGGTACTGAAAATAGTCGAATTAAAAACATTACCAGGGACAAAGTACACCTTTATGCTCACAACAAAAAAATAACAGAAGAGAAGGAAATAGAAAGTAATAGAATCATTCGGCGCTAATGAATATATAGAAAAGAAGAAACAGAGAAAGAAATAAAGTTCAGAGTAACAAAATCAGAAACTCAGAGAAACGGTGGCAACCCATAATGAGAACATAAAAACGTTAAAATAAAGATAAAATAGCTGGAAACAAACGAAAAGAAAAAAGTATGTCTACATGACACAATGCATAAAGCCATAAAGGAACTTAAAAACATCTGTGAAGTTCATATCAAGCTTAAAACACGAAGTATGATCAAATCATAATAACTATGAGGGGAATATAGCTTTCGAATTCAATTGTTGCAACCGAAGGCACTGACCAAAAACTGTTCGATCAAAAGGCCATTAAATGTTGTTTCCCAGTTAAAGTTGATCTGCAAAAAGAAGGCCAATTAAGCTATGAATAATGGAAAACTCAACTGAGATTCTGAGATGAACTAAGCTCAAGAAAATTAGCAACCTTTGTATTTAAAAAATCAACAATATAAGATACCAATATTGAAAGTGCACAACAACAACATCCAAGCCTTATTTCCAAAATGCACAGGACAAAAATCTGCTAATTCAAACTGCAACATATTTGCAATGCTAGCTTGAAAATTAAAACACGTGAAAACATAAACACGATAAAAAAAGATCTCCCAAAAATGTTTTGAAGTTACCCAAAGGTCTTCAACTGAATAGTTAGTCAAGACTATTCTGTAACCAGTGATGCTAATAACTAATCGATAAAAACATAAAATCCAGGGAACTATTTTAGGTATATTGCCTGGATAGAACTATCATTATTTTTTAAGGACTGGTTGAGTCCTAGTTTATTTAGCATAAAATGGAAGCCCATATATGTGCACATGACTCATATCTTGCCCCTTGTTTCACAATGCGCATTCAGGACACGGCAGTGCTATCTCTAATTCTCTTCTAAATATTGTTAAAGCTTAGACCAGACCAATTGATCTCCATTTATAATCAATACTCCCCATCCCACTTTGTAAGATATATTTTCCTTTTTGGGTTGTCAAATAAATATGAACATTTTCCTGATTGAACTCCACTATCTTTTTACATTTCCACTTTTTCCCTTTCACATTTTGATTTTCTTTTAACTTTTGTGGTCCCATCTTACTCTTTCTCTCTTGTTGGAGGTTAGAATTGTAAAACAACCACTTAATCATCTATCGTGTTGCCTTTTCTTAGCCATTTCTCTTCTAATTCTAGCACACGCTTAAGCTTATGAAGCATATTTCAGAAACACCACAGCAACCCATGGATAGATTAGCTACTACAAATGGAGAAGTAAAATATAAAGCATGCACATAGAGGATCTTTTTACTTGGACTGAAATTTTCTGGTTTGGTCTAGTCTGATCTGAACTGGTTTGGTCTAGTCTGATCTGAACTGGTTTGGTAATGTCTGGTCTTTGTGCACTTTATACCTATCCAAGTCTGGTCTGAGATTGAAAATGGTCCAAGTAAAAACATCTATAGCCTCAAGGCCCTGAAATATCTCGGTGGAAATTTATATGTTGATTTTTCTCTAGTATAGATACTATGTTTTTCTCATTACCCATCAAGCATAAAAGTTTTCTGAAAAAGAAAAACACAAAATATTTCAATGCAAAAAATAGATATGGCATACCAATGTAATGAGAAGAGAATCCACTGCCCCGTGGAACCTTAGCAGGTGCAGAAAACTTTTCTTCTTGCACATTAGGATAAGCATGTGTTAACCCTAATGGCATTCCCGCACCTGACATCCCATAGGCTCCAAGCATCCCTAAGTTAGCCCCGCCAAAACCCCCCATTGCTGTACCATAACTAGCACCTGCCATACCAGGTTGGCCTGCTTGGCTTGAACCTGCCACACTTTGGCCCAATCCACCCATCCCCAACATCCCTAAGTTGGAATTGCCAAGCAGCCGACTATACAATGGATTCAGCAGAGCTGCATTCTGGCTTTGACTCAACACAGCCATGGCAGTCAACACATCAGGCCCTGCTTGCAATGGTTGAAACGGATGCTGCACCACAGCTGTAGTGATTCCCGCCGCCCCTCCCAAAGATTTTCCACCACTTTTTCCTTCTGCAGCCTTCTCGCAATGCAACTGGCGCCCTTCAAATATCTTGTAGGGCTCTTCTAGACACTTTTTGGCTTCCTCTGTGGTTCTGTACACAAACAAAGCGTATCCTTTCCACTTCCCTGTGTTCGGGTCCATCCCAAATGGGCCGCTCTCGATCTCCCCAAATTTCCCGAAGAAATCCCTCAACTTCTGCGCATCCGTTTCTAGCGCCACGTTGCTCACGTAGATCTTCCGACCACTCAAGTCCTGCTGAGCCGAACTGGATCCAGGGGCAGCGGGTCCGGAAGCTGCCAGCTGGCACGAGGCAAACCGATTCCCAATTCTCTTCTTGGGTTCCTTTAGGGCTTTGATGGCAGCTTTTCGTGTCTTGTACACGATGAAGGCATAACCTTTACACTTCCCGGTGACGCGATCGGTGACAACGTTGCAGTCTTCGACTTCTCCGTAAGTTTGGAAGACGGAGAGGAGGGCCTCGCGGGTGGAGTCGTAGCAGAGGCCGTAAACAAAGATTTTCCGGTGAGAGATATCAGAATCTGCGAGGGAGCGGATGGAGGAGAAGAGGGAGGGATGGTGGAGAGCGGCATCGGCGGCGAGGGCGATAAGCTGGTCTTTGGAGAAGGGTTCAAGGAGGGCCTGGATCTCCTCAAGCGACGATTCGGAATCGGATTCGTGTGGGGCAACGTTGGAGTTCGAATTGTTGTTGTTCTTCTTGAGTTTCTTGCTATGAGTTTTGGATGCGTCTGATTTGTTGGCAGGGTTTCGCTTCTTCAACTGCTCCTTCTTCGCCATGGGTAGACAGACAGGTAGAGAGAGAGCGGACTATAGGGTTTCGGGTTTGTTTATCCGATTGCGGGAAGACGGTGAAGAAGACTATTTAAGCGGAGGTTATGACCGACGCATGCCACTATTTGTGTTCAGGCTTACTTCATCTGTATTAATAATTAGTTTGATGATTAGTATCACAGAGTCTGGGTGGTGTAGTCGGTTATCACGCTAGTCTCACACACTAGAGGTCTCCGGTTCGAACCCGGGCTCAGACATGTAAATGATATTTTTGTTTATTGCTTTATGTACTATGCAGCCACAAAAAACTTGTTACTCCCCTTCCCATTTTATAAGATACATTTATTATTTACTCGATCAACACAAATCACTTTTAATCTCTTACTTTATATATCAAAATTTTGATAATCCAATCTTTTAGCGGTCTTCTTTCAATAATCTCACCTTTTGATTATTCATGAATAATCCAATCTTTGCACCTCATCTTGTCCCTCATTGGTTAATGACCGACCATTCCAAGTTATTTTCTCATCTTTGCAAAATATTATCTTTGTGAAAGATGAGATTTATGGTATAATGATTTGCAAAGATAAGAAAATAGATTGGAATAGCAAGTCATCAACCGGTCAGGGACTGGTGAATGAAGATGAGGTGCAAAGATTGAATTATTCATGAATAACCCAAAGTTGGATTATTGTAAGAAGACTGCTAAAAGGTTGGATTATTAGTTTCCATTTTCCCAATTATTTTTTGCAGGTTTTGTAGCGATTTGTTTTTGTACTGTGCAGCCACAAAAAACTGGTTACTCCCTCTGTCCCATTTTATAAGATACTTTTACTATTCACTCGGTCAACACAAATCATTCTTAATCTCTTATTTTATATATCAAAATTTTATGAATTTGAATTTTTTTGCAGGTTTTGTATCGGTTTTAATGTAGTTTCTGAATATGTAATTTTTTTCTAAGAATAATTTGAGTGCAGACAGGGATCCGTTTGCTTTGTAAACCGAAAAGTATCTTATAATTTGGGACGGAGGGAGTATAATATTAACAGTTAAAACTGAGGATTTATTTGTTTACTTCTAGTTTTAAAAATTGATTTTAAAGAGAGTGGTTAATAGTAATAGTAAAAAAATGATAGCCAAAGACACAAACGTGAGTCATGTTGGACTCTCTCTCTCTAGACTTTCTTTCGCCTAGGTTTCGCCTAGGGGTGTTTTCCGGTGTTAACCGCTCGGGTTAACACCGAGTTTTGGATTTGCGTCTGCGTTTTGTTGTTACAGGCAGCATAGATCGTCGGTGGCTTTTGGATTGGGGTTTCCCGATTAGGGCACGGGGTCGAGGGAGTGTCGACGGTTGTGCTGAGAAGAGTTCTCTCGCTGCAACCCTACTTCATCGGAGGATATGGAGGTGGAAACGAGTTTCGGAAATTTGTTTGAGTTTTCTCTTTTCGGCCTGGAAAGCTTTGTGGACAAGTACAAGACAATGGTGATTGGCGCAGAGGAAGAAGAACTGGATCTGAATAAATCTGATGTTGAAGTTGTGGCGGATGAACGGAGGGCGCGTCCCCCTCCTGAGCCGTCGCCATGGAGTGCGAGCAAATCTAGGGTTTGGAAGAAGATGGGTGAATTCTATTTTAATTTTGTTTGATTCAATTTGTGTTTTTATGTCAATTTGCATGTTGTTTTGGACGTGTTCTTTTTTCCTAGCAGAGATATTCTTGAGTTTAGGTTAGGCGATGAGAAGTCTGGTTTGCAAGTCATTGGCTCAGTTAAGTCCATTACAGGACCAGCAAATGTTATTGCTTCTACAGAGGTTATAGATTCTCAGTCTGGTTCGAGGGCGGACGGCAGACATAAAGCTTTTTATCGTTTTGTTTACTTCTTTCACTTTGATTTATTATCAGCCATGGTGATGAACGTTATTTTGAGTTAATATATTAGTTGGACTATTTCATTCAAAAAAAATACTCTGTACTTGATAGTGTTTGATAAGAAAATATTTTTTATAATAATAATAAAGCATTAATTCCTATTTTGAAATTCTAATCATATTTTAGTTCTATATAACATTGGACTTCATTCATATCCAAAAAGCGATATTCTCCCCTCGTTTGGCAGGGTTGTTGGGCGCCGCCATGGGCTCATGTGCGGGCGGCTATAAGGAGCGTGTTTTGCCTTCATAGATCTGTTTTTGGCTTTTTCGACTCTTCTTTCTTTTGGATGGCTTATCAAATCCGGCAGAAATTGACTGTTAGTCTAGGATAACAATAGCTTTGACAAGATCAACACTAGTTGGATATCTAAAGCGACATTAGAGATGACAAAGGTTGAGTGAACAAATTTTCTTCAAGGAGGACCGCAAGTAAACATACGGTGGTTGGTTTTTGGCATCGTGCTTTCGGTGTCCAAAGTGAAGGCATGACAACGAACATTATTAAGCAGTTCGTCCTCCTCCTGAACCACAGCCATGTACTGGCCGTGTGGCTAGGGTGTGGAAGATGATGTTTCACGTTTGGATTTGGCCACATGCAGTTTATCGCTCTATATTTTATTCCACTTTTATTTATGTTTCTTTAGAATTTTTACTTTGTTTTAGATTTTATTGTGTTAAGGACTGTTTGAAGGTGCTTATGACCGTTTTTTGCCTCGAAACTCCCTTATGTTTAGCAAAAAGTTTCGCTCTGTTTTGAATGAATCTTTCTCTGTCTGATTAGGGACTAACGGGGCTTTTCGGTTATTTTGACATTGCTGAAGTTGTGAAGAGTATGATGACCTTAAGGGAAAAAAACTCTATGATGTCCATTTGGTATTCGGCGATTGGTTTGGAGGTGATCGTCTCAAAATATGATCGTAGAGTTTTTCTTGAGTTTAGATGGAGTCAGTTAGAAGATAATTGGTGCATTTTGAGTTATTGGTTTGTTGTCCCTGTTTCATCCAACAATCATACAAAATATATAGAGTAGAGAAGAAACACGCAACTTTGATTCAATATCGAGAAATATTTTGAACTTCAGAACATGGTATCGAGATACAAAGTTTTCAGCTCTCTCTCTAACTAGAATGATATGTGCGTGAATAATCTGAGAGTCTTAAGGCTCATTCCCTCTAAGGCTATATTTATATGCCTAGGGAATGAGTTGATGTGACCTAAGCATGATTAGGCTCCTTTATTTAGGTGGCCCAATAGCACACTTTATGTAACACCGTCTCCAAATATATTTACTTTTAAGTAAATGATGTAATAAACCTTATGGAATGATCAATGAATTTACGAAGTTGAAATTTTTTTTTATTTCTTTTGCGTGAATAGTAAATTTCACGGGGGACCCACATCGGGAGTGGGGGCCACCCGATATTCCCGAGGCCATATATTTTATTCATCTTGACCTAGATAATAATTATATGGTGGTGGATATATTATTTGAACCATAGAAAGGCCCAGGGTTGGCCGACTGGTCAAAAACGACCCAATTGTCAGTACCGACAATTTATCAGATAACAGCCCGAAAATGAATTTTGGAGACTTCTAAATTAAAGTTTTGTAATATGTATTATTTCAAAAGACCATTATGATGGAGAATACAAAACTTTAATTTAAAACAGTCCGAAAAATACAATTTCAGGGCCAATTGTACACATCGGGACACAAAGGGATGACCTCCCACATGAGTGGGGGCCACCCCACGTTTTGTGTGCTCAAATTGACTAAATGAAAGCTGGTAGTACACTTGATGGGAGGGTGAGACAATTGGAGACATCAAAGGGGCCCCTCCCACACATATTAGCTAAATGGGACAAAAAGAACTCATCCCTCTCCTTCCTCATCATTGTACTCGGCCAAGGCATCATAGAAAAGCAAGAGAGAGCTCTCAAACCAGCCTCCATTTGTAACACTTGAGATTTAATATAAATGAATTAATAGTACTACTCATACCAACAAGATGCATCTCCTTTTAAGGGAGCTCATTAGCCAAGAACTCCGAAGTTAAGCGTGCTTGCACGGGAGTAGTCTTGGGATGGGTGACCCCCTGGGAAGTTTCTCAGGGCGCGCACGAGTGAGGACAAAGTGCGCGTAAAAGGCTAGTGGCGGTTTGTGAGGACAGTACTAGAGGTCTGAAGTAACTACCTCGGGTCCTGCAGGACCGGGGTGTTACAGGTGGTATCAGAGCAACCCTGCGACAGTGTGTTGATCCGTTGGATATCGGGCATACACCTAGCAGGGGAAAAGATTCTGGGATTTGATTGAGATTGGTTTAAGGGCGCAACGAGGATGTTGCGATCCTAAGTGGGGGTGATTGTAACACTTGAGATTTAATATAAATGGATTAATAGTACTACTCATACCAACAAGATGCATCTCCTTTTAAGGGAGCTCATTAGCCAAGAACTCCAAAGTTAAGCGTGCTTGCACGGGAGTAGTCTTGGGGTGGGTGACCCCCTGGGAAGTTTCTCAGGGCGCGCACGAGTGAGGACAAAGTGCGCGTAAAAGGCTAGTGGCGGTTTGTGAGGACAGTACTAGAGGTCTGGAGTAACTACCTCGGGTCCTGCAGGGCCGGGGTGTTACACCATTATTGTAGCACGAGCTCAAGGAAAAAGTGGTCCAAAAGAGAGGATTTAAGAAGGAAAAAGGGAGGAAAAGCTTGGATAATTAAGGTAATGACCTTATAATAACTTTTCCCTCTATTCCTTAGCTATCATATGGTTTATATAGCATATGAGGAACCCTTGTTATGGTTCTACATATTCCCATATGTAGAAGATGGGTTAAAAAGTGATTCAAAGTCCAAGAACAGACTTATAGTCGAATTTACCGGTTCGCCTGAAAATAACCTTTTTGAGGTTATTTGTTTTAATATGGGTTTTATGATTATAAAACTTTATTAGGAACTTGATTAGGGTATTTCAAGAGCTTTCACAAAGTTGAAAGAGTCGCCGGAGTTGGTCCCAAGTTGTCGGAGTTCAACCAAGGAGGGTAGAACTTCATAGCGCTAATTCGAGATGAGTGGACGGATTAATATCTTATAACTTTTGGGTCAATTATGAGATTATCTAAATGAATGTTATATATTTATAATGAGGTTTAAAAGATATTTAAACATGTGATTAGTCAACGTGGTTAAGTTTGTATGAAA